TTTTTTAAATATTACGTATGTAAATTTGCAACACGTTAAAGGTTATCCCGTAAGCTTAAAAGACTACTCTGGTTAGGCCAAGTAAAAAAATGTTTTGAAAAATAGGGAGAAGGTGGGAAATTTTAGTTTTTATTTTCAAGATGGCCGCCACTTCCATTGAAATGTGCGCAATTTGCAGCCATAGCCTTATGCGACATTCAAAGACGTTTGAAATGGACATCGCATGGTCACCAACAGTCTAACGTACTTCAGAAGTTCTGGCTTGCAAGTTGTTTATTTTCCAATTGATCACTTAATTGACATTTTGGCGGTTCCAACTTACTTATTCCAACATTTTTTTTTTTAAAATAAAAATTGAGGTAGCCCCAAAAAGGAGTCTGGGGAAGGGGACGCTAAACATGTTAATTGTTTTACTTTGCCTTTTCAGATTTGGAAACGATGTCATGAGTGTACCAATGGTGGGAACACTCATGCATTGACCATATGCACATCAAAATTACAACTGTACAACCAATTTGAGCTGCCAAATTACATGCATGCCTCAAGTTCAGAACGATTGCAACCTGTTTATGAATATGGTGCCATAAGTAATGGTCTCTCATCACTTTAGTCTATGAAAATGTACATTTGAAATAACTCTTGTATATACCAGCAGAAACAAAAGTTTTAAAGGTCACTTTCTTAAAATGATTTTCACCAAGCTAAGGTGTATTCACAGATTGCACACCAAAAATTTGTGGACTAAACATTCAGTAATACATGACCTTTTGACTTCTTGGCCCACAAATTATCCTTAATCATCGTATTTATCTCTAAGCCCACTGCACTTTACCTCCCAAAGGTACCAGAGGATTAACCCAGTCTGATCCACAGATATCCCAGATACTCATGTCAGTGATGTGTCAGCAGCTGAAATGATAGATACTTGTACCAGTCATAGAAGGATTGCTACATGTACCATGCTTGAGGGCTTTCAGTACTTGGGTTATGTGTGAAGTATATGCATTGCGTTAGTGACAAGGGGCAGTCCGTACATGTATATGTACATGTACGCACGAAGTGCCGACTTTTCATATCTCCCTCCCCGCTGTACACATGCCATACGCAGTGGCTCCAACCTCCCCTCCTGTACGCATACGCATCAGAGTAATGACCCAAAATATCATCAACCGAAGGAATATCACACTTTACAGGGTTGTACGTTTGTAGCTACAATGTAATGCATTATACTTCCGCACGGGTGAGGGCACCTGTACGCTTCCAGAAGACACTGCCGGTTTTTGTGTCATGAGTAATGCTGCGATTTACTGATAATGGGCGTTGACACGGGAGCATAATTAGTGGGGTGGACGATAGTGCGTTTGAATGGTTCTTTGACACACAAAAGCTCATTTTGGTATTTGTTTGTATAAGAAAGTGTGTTGATATGATGAAGATTCATTAAAGGCAAATTTTAAGTTTGCGTATGGTATGCACTAGCTTGAAAGCCCTCCCCTTCCGTACGCATGGTGTATGCAACAGCACCAATCCCCATTCCTTCTTCAGCATATGTACTTTATGGGCAGCCCCCATGGAAGTCTATCCTCACTATAAAGCAGTTTGTATTTAAAATACATGCTGCGCATCCACCTTAAGTTGAAGTGCACCCTCACCAGAGAAGGAAAGACAGGCTGGTACGAAGTTTTCCAGCTGGGTTCTTGCACGCATTTGGCGTGTGCATAAAGACCATACATTGCGGACAAATGTGCATAAACATGTGCGCCTTTGCAGTGAGTTCGTAGCAAAGGACTGTCAATTTCTTTTAAAAACATGTCCTCTTTTATTCTCTCTTGGAACGGATATCGGTGAGCATAGTTACTCCTCCCCAAACTTTGGATATGGTTTAGCAGGCTTCAAACCAAACACTTCGTGGCCAGAGTTAGAAGCCGTTACTTTTTCAGTGCCATATGCAGATCGAGCACTCATGTTAAATGCCTCTTTGACTAATAAGGGGGCAACACTGCCAAAATATACCCATGCCTCATGTTTAGAATGCACATTACATTTGTGTGAGTGTCATTGCAGTTAACAGTGTTGCCTCAGATTAGTGGTTTACAAGTACATGTACATGTACATGTTGGGTAAAGTTGCTTGATCTTGGTGATTGGTTGACATTGCTTTATTATCTGACAAAAATTTTAACTAGATTGATTGCCTTTTTCTCTCTAGTTCACGGTTGTGGGTAGTTGTTTCAAAACAGGGAAGTAAAGTCAGAGATTTCAGATGAGATTAACTGTTGTGCGATGTGATCACACCATCATGTTGATCGACTCATAACACCAAACATGCATTATACAATTTGGATTTTAATAAGTGGTAGTTTCTAAAAGAAATTTGAATTAAAGTCACACTTTTGTAATAGTGCAGTATGTACTTACCTTCTTTCAAAGCTGGCAAACCATAAAGGACCCTACTTTGCTGAGAAAAATTTATCTTCCTCAAACTTCAGTTTATACAAAAATGTGTCTGTATGTCAGCTGATTTGTTTGAAATGTTTCATTCATCGTTAACATTTGTTACAACCAACTGTGTGGAGTGCAGTTTACAAAAAGTCTGCACTGTACGGCAGCCTTGATAAAGAGGTGAATTTTTTTGTTTAGAAAAACTCCAAGCACCAGAATAATTGGATAGCTATTTTGTTTGATTTTTACCCAAAAGCCTCTTACAGAGATTCTGTGATCAGCGATCCTTTGCCAATTAATCACCAGAGTTGCCTCTCTATCTAATGCTGCTTTCCTTGATTGGCAATTTCTGTCCAATTAAAATCAGCGGGAGACTGAAAAATGGAGGTTCCACCATTCCTAAAAAATCCCCTGGCCAGTAATGAGGAATACGTGTAATGTACAGTGACAGTTCCATCATGACTGGTTTGTTTGCCCTGGTAAGATGCATTTTGGAAAGCAAATGATTAATGTCCTTTCAACTCCTGTGAATTTTGTCAAGACAGATACGATTGTACTTCAGCTTGGCTTCACAGTTTATTGCTATAATGGTTTCATGGTAGGCTGGCTTTTTGGTAAACCAAGTCAGCCATCGATAGCATTGACAGACAATGCAAGAATTAGATACCCAGTCAGTTCTCTACTCTGTTATGTAGTCCCACCTTTTCCTTTCCAATTCACCCTCCCTAGACTAATCCTATTTCAGAGGCCAGCCCATCTTCTGCAGGGTTATTCAGGTGTGTCTAACTCAATTACATCGGGACAGCTCCCCTAGGCTTCTTCCATTGTTCCCCAGACCTGCAAACCCTCACGGGTAATAGACTTGCTTCAGTTTCATATAGAATGCCACAGTGGAGCGCTTTATTCTTGCCTAAGTTGTATTTCCTGCTGTAAAGCATAGGTGGTGACTGGCACAAGTCGAAAGCCATATTTGGGTCAATCATTGGAAGGTATTGTTGTGTCTGAGGCATCAGTGTCTTGTATTGTTGATTTGTCCAATCAGCCATGGCTAACACAGTAATGGAAGGGGACAAACCAAGGGGACATGCAGTGCTGAAGCTGCAGAGTTCTTACCACTTTGCTGATAAATCTTGTCGGGTGATGATGTGGGAAAACAGTGAGGTGTGGTGACCATCATATTGGCATGTAGCATAGGAAAGCTTTGATGCATCTCTGTAGGGAACTGTATTTTGAAGGCTCCACTAAGCAAACTGGCCAGCAATTCACCATTGTGCCTCAGGATTTATTAGCATTAGAGGAAAACCTCTTGAGGATGAGAGAGTTGGTGTCACATCCAAGGCGCCCAGACTGAGATCCAAGCTTCACCTGAGTGAATTCCTGAGCAATGTGAGTGGTTCCTGTGTGAGTTAAATTATGAATAATCCATTTCATATTCACAGCTGCTGTGTTGTTGCAGATATTCACAGATGCTGGTTGCAAGGAATTGTATGGTCCACGGCTGATGTTTGGAGTGGCTTTGGAATCATGGTCTTACTCTGATATGTGGGTGGTCCGTGAAGAATTGAAGGGTGCTGTTGTATTATGCGGAATGACTGAAAAAGAGTAAAATAGGAGATACAGCGAATGGTCTGGGTCCCGGTGTCTACTGTAATGTGTGCTGTGTCATATTCTGTAGAATGAACCTTTTCTAAAGAGAGGATTTTTGTATTACACGTCCATATGAGGAATTCCTGTTTGGTGAATAGCCCTTAACAAATTTGAAGTGACCATTGCTGAGGCAATAGACAAGTGACCATGGATTAGTCCCAATGGTGGATGGGTGACTACTACAAGCAGGTAAAGGGAGCCACCATAAAAAGGCAGTCACAGGACAGTTGGCTACATAGACAGGTGGTCACATTGGACAGGTGGTCTCAGAATACAGGTTATACAACAAGAAACAGGTGCCTTGCTGCACATGTAAGTGCTTTGGGATGTACATGTACAATGCACATGTCATCAAGATGATCCCAAGCCAGCCAGGCTTGTCAGATTGCCAAAGTTCAGGCTGTAGTAACTTACATACGCGGTATAATGCTGATTGACATCAAACTTGTTAAGGAATGCATGACATTATTACGAAAGCCAGAAATCAGTTTTAGAGGAGCTAGCCTATCCTTACACAAGCTGAGTGCTCAAGGTTTAAATTCGGATTAGCAGTGTAATGAGGACTGTGGAAGTCTGAAAGATTGCCAGCTATGTAATCTGATTCAGCATCTGTATCCTCCAACAATCAAGGACAGGTGTAGTGTCTTGGAAGTCAAATAGATTCAAGCAATCTGTAGCCATTGGAGGAAAGTACAATTCCACAGATTTGTTTCAATTCCTGTGCATAGTAGGTTGCTTCTTAGAAGTTCAGTACCAATAATTGGATGATAAATTAGTGACCAGAGGAAAAAAAAGTGTGCATGAAGCCAACTATAACTGAGATAGTTTGTTCTTGAGTCTCGGAAAAGATTCTAGGAACATATGCAGAACCGATAATTAACTCAGACTAACTCAGACTACTTATCTGAGGAAACACCATTACTAAACTGGCACTACGCTCATGCATGTATTGATGTGCGTCCACTTCAACAAGTCACAGCCACTAGCGGTTAAAGAGATGTGTGTTTTCATTGAGAGGGGTACAGTGGTGGCCGTGGCCCCCGTGACAAAAAGGAACAAACATTTGTTCTTGTTTTTGAAAAAGGATTTTTTTTTTTACTATACTTAGGGGGACTTTTCTCCCAACTTTATTTTAGGATGTGACCGGAGTATTAAGATGTGTTATTTTTTGCACCAGCTTGAAGGCAGGCATTGTAAGCTGTACCTGAGCAGATGTGCTCATACATCAACTGCCGAGAGTGCCTGTTAATTTCTTTGAAGTGGCTAAACACAGGGAGGAGTTGAGGCACGAACAATCGTTAGATGTGGCCTATTTAATCCTCATCAATAATCTCGGGATCAATAGCTGGCTTTCAGCACTGGATTCGCCAGCCCCGGCAAACTGTTAATTAGCAGTATTGATGGTAATGATTGGACCCTTAGGATCTAAAGAACAATGCCCTGTGTCTGGCAAGGTTGGGGTTACATAGGTGTTGTGTGGAAATGTACATGTAGCCAAGCTGACAGCTGAATATATACTGCATTGGATACACACACAGATGTGCACAGGGTTGGCTGAATGCCTCGGTCTACATGTGCTATACATGTAGACTGGTACCTACTGTTCAGAGAGGCGGAATAATGAACTAGTGTACCGGTACATGAACATTTTAGTTTGAGAAAGGACGTTTTGAAGTATCTGAGCAGCTGTGTACAGTATCATGCAACTGACAAAAAGGTGGGGTCTGTTACTGACATATACCAGTACATCTATTACATTGTGAAATTGTCTAACATGATCTTATCTACGAAAAGAAAATGCCAAATGTACCATCTACAGAAATTCAAATCACAGTCCATGTAGAAATTGTTCCAATGATTATACTTTTAATACCACTTTTTAGGCAGAGTACATGTTTCTTACTAAGGATAAGGTGCTAGGGTTTGAGTAGAGTGACAGTATGGAGCTTGCCCCATGGATATGCATGTACATGTACCTACATGTACATGTACATGTACTGTACGTGACAATCTGTGACTGAGTCTTCACATGGACTGTCTGGCATTGTATCGTCTGTCATCCATGGTCCTTACCTTGTACTGTAACTCAACCTCTTAGGGAGGTTGCCTTGCACTTTTCCTTCATTCCTAGGACTGTAACCACAAACTGCTTTCTAATAACCTATTCTCCTGCCATCAATCACTGACCCTTATTGCATTATTAATTAATCCCTTCACTCTGATCTCACTAGTCTCTTGAGATTACTCGCCCCTGGAAGAAAGGAAAATGACTCTTTTGTGAAGTTAGTCAATGGAAACTAGGGAGTGCAGATTTCCCATTGAAATTGCACATAATGGGTTTACATTTCCCCCTTCAACCTTCCAAGCCGTTGGCTTGGATTTATATGTCTACATACATGTACATGTACACAGTTGGATTGCAGTGTATGTTGAGGCATTGTAAGTTTCCTATCCTGGTTTCAAATTGCCAGACTCTGTGACAAGGGAACTTTCCTTTGCAGGAATTCATGCATGCTGGAGCATGTGAGGAATTGTGGTCAAAGCAGCGAGGGTTGACATTGTGGTGTGCACAGTTACTAAAACAGCTTCGAAACGTAAGGTCGTGTGACTGCATGTATACCTGCAAAGTAGAACTTACTTCCATTTCTGGATTGCTCCATCTTTGTCATTGTTTTGTTCCAGGCTTTGCATCAGTACAGTACTGGTCCATGACAGTTGGCAGAATTCAAGTTATCAATTTTGCTGGCTGACAACATTTTAATTCACTTTCCACATTTTGGTTTTATCAAATTGCAGAGAGAAGTTGACAGTGACTCGTCTTCAACGAGAGCTCACCAAGACCAAATCAGACAACAATCTGGTAGGTACCAGTTGGGGGACTTTACAGTTATTCAGACTCATATCCACCAAACTCTCAACTCGGTTGCTACATGTACATCCACTCTAGGCTTGGGCGGTATTGCCTTTTTCGTTACCGCGGTATCCGTGAAAAAATACCATGGTATTTTAATACCGCAGTATTCATTGCAGAAGGCAATACGTCATCAAACAGCAGCGGCGATGCATTCAATGGCAAAACACAAGCAAAACTAGGGGCCAGCATAAAGTGTTTTTTCACATCACAAAACCCTTAAACTTAATAAGTATTATAATTTATCTGTCCATTTGATTTCAAATAAATATTATTTAAATGAAAGAATTAAAATTTGTTGCCCCATGATTCCTATCTGTGTGGTCACTCGTACGCTGTGTAAATCTGCACGTGTACTGTGGTCAAGTTGGTACTTGCTGAGACAGAGCGTTATTGTAATGATTACGTGCCGGTCAGCAATGGCTGCTCCTCTTAACTGCGCCCTAACACTGCGCGTGTGCAATAGTAAGGTGGCTTCCAGAAAACTCTGCTGCACGGCAGTCGACTCTCGTTATTACAAAATCGGTTGTAACAAATTCTGATTATAACAAACACAAATCTGTGGTCCCAGCAAAAATGTGCATGTTTCTTTGGGGAGAAAATCTGTTACTGAGAAATCGCATTGTATGAAATTCCTAGTACAGTGGTACCACAAAAGGTTTTTGTGACTCCGTTGCCTGAATAACCATTGTTAATGACCCATTTATAAAGCGTTTGCGAATCGCAGTGGTGAAAACAAATGGGCGGTGCACCACACTGGTTCCTACCAGGCCGAACCGTTGCCAATGAAGGCATGATGGAAATGTAGCAACCAGTCAGTGTACAGTTTCTGCCAACTTGAAAAGGTCGTACGTTCCACTAGTCGAATGCAGCTCTATAGATGCAAGTCAAAAAACACTTCCATCACAAATTTTTCTGCAGGTTCATTCACAAAACTTGATCTCATGTCTATGTTCAAGTTTTCTGTGTTCATGAATTTAATTTGAGATTGTACTGCTTGTACTCAAGCGAGCATGTTTCCACAAAATTTCCGGCCACAACACGAGGCTTATCACCCGCCCCTCCATATGTGTCACGCATGCTTACAACGCGATATACAGACATCGTTTGTCAGTTTCCTATCGTCATGATACGCATAGTGCGTTATTGAAAAATCCATGATATTTTACATTGATTACACAAACGCCAAAACAAAAATTCCCACACCATTTCCGATAAAAATATGCCCCAAAAGGTTCGCTTGACTATTCTCGCATCACAAGAGTCCCACTAATTGCCCAACACTGAATTATTCATGTTGCTGCAAAAAGATTTAGCGTACCCGCCTCTGAGACTGTGTGTTTTCATGACGTACATTTGGCAAGACACAGCTATCCAATCGCAATATTCGTTCATTACATCATGCTTCTTCAGCGACTATCTCGTGCACAGGCGGCGCAGCCGCAGTGGGCGAGTGAAGATAGGGCTGTGATATGTGCCGGTGAGCAATACAACAAACACTGCCTACAAGCTATTCCAAAACTGCAAACTCGACAGCAGCAATAGGAAAACAACACCTTTTGATAGGTGGGTTGATGGCTGCATGCTGAAGTATCACGTTACGTCTTATCTCCTCTCCAAAGACAGTAGAGTCAATACAAACAGATGCTGGGTGACGGAAACCACAAAGTATGCAGTCACTTTTGTGGATATACTTGTCTGCTTTCATCTTAAGAGGTTTGTGGGAACATATCGGTATTGTTAGGTATTTTTTTAAAAATGCGCTATTTGGTAATACCGAAATACCGCCCAAGCTAAATCCACTCCTCATCTTTGCTAGACCTAGCTGGTAGCTGCTTACAGATTTGCAATCCAGTCAGTCACAATCAATCACAAGTCAATTTGCAAGCCAGTTCACAAATCAGGTCTGAACTAAGGATATGAGCAATGACAAAGGAATATCTTTGTCAGAAATTATTGAATCAGTTTAAGAGTAAATGACGTGTGACTGGAATGTGATGACTTTTGACTGATATGATTGTAATTCTGCCTGCTCTGCCAGTTGATCTTTTAGCAACTCGTGAAACTCACTTGCTTCACAGATGACAGTGTTGAGTCTTCTAAGTTTATTTGGGAAGAAACAAAGGGAAATGTAATCTTTAATTCACCTCCACTTGTAGGTGTCAAACCACAGACGCCCTCTTGAGTAACTGAAAAAGTGCCGTTAATTTTTCAAAGTTGTCTGGTCTTTGTGAAGAGGAAGAACTTAAGGAAGGAAGATGAGGAAATAAGGAGATTTTCCTCCAGCTCGTAGATCACATTAGTCATTGGCATCTTCACCAGTGTCTGGTGGTGACATGTAGTTCATCTCTTAGTTTCAGGAAGCTATCATAGCTCCAGGCATTCACGGTCTGCTTGATATGTTTGTTCTCTGGGGTATTGTTGACGGCTAATACATGTACATGTAGCTTCCCATGTCTTATTTATTGATTAGAGTTTGAGTTCACTGGTGGATTAAATCCATCCATCTTCTCATTTCAAGTACATGTACTCCTGAACAGAACAATGTTCTGATTGGAAAATGGTTATTGATTTACATGCATTTCTTTGTCGAGGACATGCAATACCATAATTATATTATTAAAAATATGATGTTTCGTTAGTGAGTGGCTGTTTACACTTATGCACAAACGGTTTGCATGCATTGTGGGCTCTTTTCTTCGTAAGGAAGGCACTTTACAACATGTAGCTACACCTACGATATCGTTTGGGCTTAGGCCAGACAACCTTTACCCTAACAGTCCTCAATTCTCTAACAGGTAGATGATTGAGGACAGTTAAGGTTTCGTAGGTGCGGGGCTCTTGTTTAAATACACATTGTGCGTGTAACTTAAAGACAGACGTATTTGAAAATGTGCAAATGTATTTGATCTTTGAGTGGACTTTACATGTACCTTCATGTGTTGGCCAAGCCTCTCTATTCGTCACTACGGGATG